TGAAGATGATGGGAAAACCATGACTGGAACAAATGAAACTGAATCACACTAGATTTAGAATACTATTTTATTATTTTATTTTCAGAGTTTAGGACCTTCCTGTTACACTTTTAATTCTTACCTTGTTCAATCATCATCAGCGAGGCTTCCTCAGGCAGCAGATGGGAGCAGATGCAGAGAACCCCCAGCCAGACATTATGCTTAGTGAACACCTAAATTGGTGGTCTCATTGGAGCTTATGGAACTCTGGAGAAGAGAGGGAGGAAGGATCATAGGAGTCAGTGGGGATGGAGAATACCAAGAGAACATGGCCTACTGAATCAACAAGGCAAGGCTCATATGGACTCACAGAGAGTGAAATGGCAAGCACTGGGCCAGCATGGGTCTGAACCAGGTCTGTGTACATGTTGTGGCTGTTGGCTTGGTGTTTTGTAGAACTTCCAGCTGTGGGGGAGGGTATGAATCTGACTCTTTGCCTGCTCTTGGGACTCTTTTCCTCCTACTTTTTTTTTTTTTTTTTTTTTTTTTTTTTAATATGTCAAGCTTCAGTGTAATGTTTCTTGCCTTGTCTTTCTGTATTTTGATTTGTAGTGTTTGGTCATTGTCTTTTTGAGGCCTGCTCTTTTTGGATGGTAGGAGTAAGCCAGGAGGAGTGTAGGGAGGGTAAACTAAGGTTCAGATATATTGTATGAGACAAAAGTCTATTTTCAATGAAAGGAGGGAAGGTAGGAATAAAGGAAGGAAGGGAAAAAGAAAGTTAAAGATGGCATAAAGAAGAAAGGAAGGAAAACAAATTTCCAAGCCCATTTTTGTTCTGTTAATTTCTTAACTAAATGTTCTATAAGGCATGTTTTATCCCAATAATTACAGATGTTTTTCACAGACTCTTTAGTCCACTACTAAATCCTGCTTTAAAAACACAATTGTTGTATTTGAAAAAACATAACCTAATTTCATGTAACATGACACAGTTAAAATAGTGGGTGTGGAGACATCATAGAAATCAAGCTGCGTTAAGTTCATGCCAAGTATTGTATTCGATGTGATGCTGAGTGTTCATTTATCACTCTTCCTTGTGTCTCCATCCCTGTAATTATTAATCACTCAGCTGTCTTTCTGGGGTATTTCTCTATTTATTCATTATCATGCACCATTTTCCAGTCTGTTATTCCAACATAATGATTCAGATGCAGTCAGCAACATCGAATATGCTCTCATATTTTAGAATTGTTAATTCTTCTTAATTGTAAATCAAAATCCCAGCATGATACTTATTGTAATGGAGATGGGCAGCTCTTTGTTATCACCTAAGGCTGAAGGTACAGGGAGTTCAGTTACAAGGGGAAACTATATGTAGACTGGGGTTTTTATGTGGGTCTTGTAATTATTTTAAGCATATGCATGATATAGCTACTTTTATATTTTTGGGAAAAAACCACTCCATTTACTCTGGGGTGATGCACCATGGAATAGCTTGTGATGATTCAGAAAAATGAGGTCCTTACTTCTGTACTTTATATGATAAGGTATTATATCTTGGACTATAGGGACAGCGTCAGAAACAACTCCTGCTTCACATATAACACAGACTTCTGACTTTGCCAGTGTCGTTGAAACTGACAGTGCTCAGAACCAAGCACAAGTGTCACTGAATACTTCGGTGTGATGTCAGGAAGAGAGGTGCAGTTTGGGGGTAATATACTGTGAACCCCTTGTGTAAAGGTGCACTCTAAGTCATAGCAGAGGAAATGGAAGGAAGGGGGTATTTTTCTTTTTTTATATTTATTTGAATTACAAACAAGATTGAATTACATGACAATCCCAGTTCCCTTCTCCCTCCCTTCCTCCCCTATCACCCCCCCAAAAGTCATGAGGGAGCAGAAAGGTTGAGTCATGGGGTATTTTCTTTTTAAATACTGAAATTCCTAATTTTTAATGGTTTGAAAATGGAACATGAGCTTTCAGGAACCTATAAGAAGGCAGGAATGTATGAGGAAAGAAACAGGATTGAAGGTGGTGTTATGCCAATTAAGTGATAACATGTAACATTTAGAGATGGAGACATTCACAGTATCAAAAGTTTTTGAAAATTCTTTCATGATAAATAATAAAATGTCAAGAAAATTTAAAGATAGTGTCATTTCAAACCACACTGTAATGAAGTAATACATACAAAATTTCTGGAAGAAATTATTGACAGGAATGATACACGATTTCTTTGCAAAATTTGCCTGTGAAATGATAATGAGAGTAGAATGGTTTGGATAGACCACTGTATTCATCATCTTTGCTAATGTTCTGGTTGATATACCTTGAAATACTTGATTATGGTTACATATTACAACAAGAAAATGGATTGATAAAAGCAAGAGTACTGAGTAATTCAGAGAGAATATATAAAAATTATGAGGTGTAAAATGTAGGTAGAAAAGCAGAATCTATATGTACTTTTATTATTAGGGAAGAAAGGTGAAAAGATTAATGTGTTAGTTTACATTTCAGTAGTTGTGGTATTTTATGTTTGTATTCTGATGATTACCAGTTTGTTTGAAAATCAGGGACTTCACTCTAGGTGATGGAAGGGGATGGAAAGTTAGAAACATCACTTGCTGCATGCAGGAAAACATTATTCCTCTTAAGGAAACAACCAGAGAAACTCTTATTTCTTCTGAAGGGACACCTCCCTCAGCAAATATCAATTATCATTAAAATAACAAAAATCACAAAACCTCAACAACATGTGATGTTACAAAATATTCACTATAAGATGGACACCCTTGAATTGCTCATATCTGAGATGAAACCAATTTGATATTTAGAATAAGAAAATTTCCCTGTCAGTAAGTATATTTTCCTTTCACTTTGCTAGCATAGTATTTCAACTACTTTCAGATGTGTTTAGAACAATACCACTTCTTTTTTTCAAAGGCCTTGTAAGTTAATTACTGAAAGCCTGGTATTCAGACAGAGACCTCAGTGTGTATGGTAAGTACTATATTGTCTGAGGTTGTCAATGGATCATTTACTTAGATGACAACCACCATAATTATTTTTAAGTAATTTTTTTTAAATTAGAAACAAGCTTGTTTTACATGTCAATGCCAGTTTCCTCTCCCTTCCCTCCTCCCCTGATCCCACCTGACCCTCTATCCTATCCCCATTCTGCTTCCCCGGGAAGGTGAAATCGTTCATGGGGGAGTCTTCAAAGTCTGTCATATCATTTGGAGCAGGGCATAGACCCTCTTCCTTGTGTCTAGGCTGAGAGAGTATCCCTCTAGGTGGAGTGGGCTCCCAAAGACATTTCATGTACTAGGGATAAGTACTGATCCATTATAGAGGTCCAATAGATTAACCAGCCCTCCAAACTCACATCTTCTTTCTGGTTTCCCATCTTCTATGCTGATTTCCCAGCAATCAGTCTGGGGTCCATAAGATCCCCCTTCTGCAGGTCAGCTGTTTCCATGTGTTTCTCTAGCCTGGTCTTGAATTCTTTGCTCATCACTTCTATCATTCTGCCACTGGATTCTAGTGACACCTCAGTGTTTAGCAATGTGTGTCTGCTTCTGCTACCATCAGCTACTGGATGAAGGTATTTGTCAATCTCATTACCAGAAAGGGGCATTAAAGATAGCCTGTCAACTATTGCTGAGATTGTTAGTTGGGGTGAACCTTGTAGATATCTGGACATTTCACTAGTTCTAGATTTTTTAAACCTATAATAGCTCCCTCTATTATGGTGTCTCTTTTTCTTGCTCTCATATATTCTTCTGCTCACTCGATCTTCTTGTTCTCTGATGTCCTCCTCTCCCATCCTCTTCTCTCCTTCTCTTTGTCTGAACTGTTTAGCTGCTCCCCTCATGGGCCCACTTATATCAGAAGATATTGTCCCTTTCCCCTTCTCCAGGGGGCCATGTATGTCTCTCTTAGGGTCCTCCTTGTTTCCTAGATTCTCTGTCAGTGTGGACTGTAGGCCTGGTAATCCTTTACTCTATGTCTAAAACCCATAATGAGTGAGTATATACCATGTTTGTCTTTTGTGACTGGATTATGTTACTCAGGATGTTTTCTTCTAGTTCCATCCACTTGCCTCTGAATTTCAAGTTTCCATTGTTTTTTTTTTTCTTTCTATCTGAGTAGTACTCCATTGTGTGAGTGTACCACATTTTCTCCATCCATTTTTCCATTAAAGGGCATCTAGGTTGCTTCCAGGTTCTGGCTATTACAAATATTGCTGCTATGAACATGGTTGAACATATATCCTGGTTGTATGAATGTTCATCTTTTGGGTATATGCCTAAGAGTGGAATTGCTGGATCTTGTGGTAGACTGATTCACATTTTTCTGAGGAACTGCCATACTGATTTCCAAAGTGGCTATAAGAGTTTGCATTCCCACCAGAAACTGAGGAATTTTGCCACATCCTCCACATCCTCTCTAGCATCCTCTCCAGCATAAACTGTCATTGGTATTTTTGATTTTAGCCACTCTGACAGGAGTAAGATGGTCTCTCAGAGTGGTTTTCATTTGCATTTCCTTGATGGGTAAGGATGTTGAGCACTTTCTTAAGTGTCTATCAGCTATTTTAGACTCCTCTATTGAGTATTAACTATTTAGTTCTGCACCCAACTTTTTAATTGGATTACTTGGTATTTTGGTGGCTAGCTTCTTGAGTTCTTTGTATATTTTGGAACTCAGCCCTCTGTCAGATGTGGGGTTGGTGAATATCTTTTCTCATTTTGTGGGCTACTGTTTTGTCTAATTCACTATGCCCTTTGCTTTACAGAAGCTTCTCAGTTTCAGGCGGTCCTATTTATTAATTGTCGATGTCAGTGTGTGTGCTACTGGTGTTATGTTCAGGAAGCAGACTCCTGTACCAATTGGTTCCAGGGTACTACCTACTTTCTCTTCTAAGACATTCAGTTTTGCTGGATTTATGTTGACGTTCTTGATCCATTTAGACTTAAGTTCTTTTGGTTTTCTTTGTTTCTTTCTTTTTTTAGGTTTTGGGGACCGAGTTTCTCTGTATTGGATTGGAGCCTGCCTGGGATCCCCTGCTGTAGACCAGGCTGGATTTGAACTCACAGAGATCTACCTGCCACTGCCTCCTGAGTGCTGGGATTAAAGGTATGGGTGTGTTCCACCAATGCCCGGCTCTGGACTTAAGTTTTCTGCATTTTGATAAGTATGGATCTATCTGCAGTCTTCTACACACCAGAATCCAGTTATGCCAGCAACATTTGTTGAAGGTGCTTTCTTTTTTCTATTGTATAATTTTAGCTTTTTGTGAAAAATGAGGTGTTCGTAGATATGTGGGTCCACATCAGGGTTTTCAATTTGATTCTATTGGTCAACATGTCTATTTTGTGCAAATACCAAGCTGTTTTCAGGATTATAGCTCTATAATAGAGACTAAACTCAGGGATGGTGACACCTTGGGATATAGTTTTATTGTACAGGTTTGTTTGGTCTATCTTGGGTCTTTTGTTTTTCCATCTAAAGTTGAGAATTTTTCTTTCAAGTTCTGTGAAGAATTTTCCTGAAACTTTGATGCAGATTGCATTGAATCTGTAGAGTGCTTTTGGCAAAATTGCCATTTTTACTACTTATCCAAGAGCATGGCAGTTGTTTCCATTTTCTTGCATCTTCTTTAATTTCTTTCTTTAAAGACTAAAAGTTCTTGTTATACAAGTCTTTCACTTGTTTGGTTAGCATTACCCCAAGATATTTTATGTTGTTTGTAGCTATTTTAAAGGGTAATGTTTCTGTTTTCTTTCTCAACCTATTTATTGTCTGTATATAGTAGGGCTGCTAATTTTTTTGAGTTAATGTTGGATCCTGCCACTTTCGTAAAGTGGTTTATCAGATATAGGAGTTCCCTGGTAGAGTTTTAGGTCACTTATGTAAATTACCATATCTTCAGCAAATAGTGAATGTTTGACTTCTTTTCTATTTGTATTCCCTTGATCTCCTTTTGTTTTCTTATTGCTCTAGCTAGAGCTTCAACACAATACTGAAGAGGTATGTAGAGAGTGGACAACCTTGTCTTGTTCCTGATTTTAGAGGAATTGCATTGAATTTCTATCTTCTTATTTTGATTTTGGCTCTTGACTTGCTATACATTGCTTTTATTATGTTTTGGCATGTTTCTGTTATCCCTGATCTCTCCAAAACCTTTATCATAAAGGGGTGTTGGATTTTGTCAAAGGCTTTTTTTTCCTGCCAATAATGAGATGATCATTTGGTTTCCTTTTTCAGTTCCTTTATATGGTGGACTTTGATATGTTGAACCATCCCTACATTCCTGGGATGAAGCCTACTTGATCATGGTGGATGATTTTTCTGATGTGTTCTTGGATTCATTTTACCAATATTCCATTGAATACTTTTGCATCAATGTTCACTAGGGATATTTGTCTGTAGTTCTCTATCTTAGTTGTGTCTTTTGTGGCTTGTGTAATAGCCAGAAACTGGAAGCAACCTAGATGTGTCTCAGCTGAAGAATGGATAGAGAAAATGTGGCACATTTACACAATGGAGTACTATTTAGCAGAAAAAATGGAATCTTGAAATCTGCAAGTAAATGGATGGAACTAGAAGAAACCATCCTGAGTGAGGTTACCTAGTCACTATATTTGTTCACTTTAGTTTTTTTTCCCATGGGATATTGATATTTTTCCAAATGTAAAATTTAAGAAAGTGTGAGGCTGATTTCACAGGCATGGCCCATGTTCATGGCATCATGAATTCAGGCTAAGGGCTTCCTCAAAATTAACATTTCTAGGTCACTGTGAATTTATGATCTCAGTGGCTTCTCCTTCATGCACAACCAAGAAATGGTTCTTTGCATTTGTTAATCCTTGCTTCTCCATATTTGCTTATATTTTTTTGTTCCATGGTTGTCCTTCCTCTGTGGCTTTAATTTCCTGGTAGATTTAAAATGTTCAACTGTTCTCTTATCAGATGCCAGTGGGCTGTGTTTGTAGTAACTCATTGATATTAGCTTGCCCAAACTTCACATATTCCTGGGTTCCATTCCTAGAATTGCAAAACACAATGTGGTGATAACATCCAATAATTTTCCCTGGAAGAGCAGACACTGGAAGTGTACTTTAGGTTTGCTCACTAACCATGCATAAGTAAGTCAACTTCAAGTGATTCTTATCTGGATTTCTATTATCTAGCAATGTCTGCTTGTGTACTATCTGGAACTAATGCTAGGACAAATGTCTTTGGATGCTTTCCTCTTATTAGTGTTAATTTTGTTTAAGTGGTGATTTAATGCAAATTAGGACACCTTAAGCTCTTGGAAGCTTGTTTATACTGGGTACTAGTACAGATCTCTACAACACTGTGAGATACTCAATGTTTACCGTATCTCACAGTTTTGGAACAGTTTTGCTGTTCCTCACACCTGTTTCAAGCTTCTTTTGATCTTACAAGGCTTTAGATAGGTTTTGTTCATAATCATTTATGGTATGCCTTATTCTAGAACATTTCTTTGAAGCTTTCATCACTGAGCTCATCCTTCAGATTCATACTCAGTATGTTCAGGGGACTCGGCCAAGATCTCTCTGCCCTTGCTGATCCAGATTCACAATGTTCAAGCAAAGGTGAGCCATGGGGTCTCCATTACACTTCCTTACCCATAGTCTACTCCAAATGCAGAATGAGTATATACTTGTTCGTCCCAGCTAAACATATATGAGGTACTCTGTCACTGGTTTTAGTTCTTTCTATGCTATACAGTCAGGTGTTTGCACCCCACCCCTCTTCAATATTGATCTCTAGAGAGCAATGTGTGATTTTGATGTTCAGTCAAGGATACTTATGTCAAATATTTTTATTGTTTATTTTCCCTTTCAAAGATGGATATATATGAGCATTACATGAGCATTATTACATAAATCGTGGAACATATACATTATTGAATGTATGTGGCTTATGATTTTGTGTACTGAATTGAGACTAGTGATATAAACAGAAAATGAACTCTGCATAATTTTAATTCAAAACTCTATATATATGAGCATATACACTTGAAATGTATTAGTGAATTAATGAGACAAACCAGATAAACAGAGGCTGTGGTATGAATGTATATGAACTGTGACCTCATAGCCACAATGTGTTTAATAATCTTAAGAACTCCATGATTTGCAAATACAAATAAAGAATTTGTTTCAACTTGGTGCAGTTCCAGCAATGAAAGTAAAATTTATTTCTTGCTGAGTTAAGAGAATAAGCATGGACTAGATAAAATTCTCAGAAAACCAAAAAGTGTAAGATCAGTATATATGGGGTTACAAGAATTAGGTGTGCCCCAGGCATGTGTCTGTATATAAAATTTTCTATCATTGGAATAATTAAACACTTATAATTTCCATAAATGAAAATTGCTTATGCATTTTTATAATTTTTGTATCAGCAGGAAACAGTACTCTAAGATAATTTTAGCCATCACAGTATTATAAAAAATATTTACTTTATATTTTCATGTTATCATATAATTATAAGTTTTCCCTTCCCTTTTCTTCATCCAAACCCTATCATATACCACATACTCCCTCTTACCCTCACTCAAGTTCATGGCCTCCTTTGTCATTAACAATATAGAGATGGAGAAGGTTATATTTAGGAAAAAATATATTATATATACATATATATGTAATTACTTGTATGTACATTTTCAGTGCTAAACATTTTGTATTGAATATCTAATGGAGCAGGCCTAAACATAGATGATCAGGTATTTTTGTGCTGTGATATAGGGTCTTTTAGGGGTATTCCCAAGAGAATAGCTGCCACATGGTAGATCTATTGCTAGATTTTTGAGAAGTCTCCACAATGATGTCTGTAAGAGCTGCATCAGGCTGCTTCTAAGAATTAATGAGTATGTTGCTCTCCTCACACCCTATCAGCATTTGTTTTCAATTATTTTCTTGATATGGGTTATTTTGATAAGGATAAGAGGAAATATCACATAATTTGCTTGTGCCCAATGGCAATGGATACTGAATAATTTAAAAATAATTTTTAGCCAATTTTTCTTTGGAAAATTCTCTCTTCTTTATTTTTTATTTTTTATTTAAATTTAAAACAAGCTAGTTTTACATGTCCATCCCAATTCCATGTCCATCCCCTCCTCCCCTGCCCCCCCCCACCAACTCCCTATCCCATCACATTTCTGCTCCCCAGGGAGAGTGAGGCCTTCCATGGGGGAATCTTCAAAGTCGGTCATCATTTGGAGCAGGGCCTAAGCCCTCCAAAATGTGTCTATGCAGAGAGAGTATCCCTCTATGTGGGATGGGCTCCCAAAGTTCATTAGTATACTAGGGATAAATAGTGACACACTACCAGAGGGCCCATAGACAGCCCAGGCTTCCTAAATGACACCTACATTCAGGGAGTTTGGATAGGTTTCCCAGCAATCACTCTGGGGTCCATGAGCTCCTGCTTTTTCAGGTCAGCTGTTTCTGTGGGTTTCTCCAGACTGGTCTTAACCACTTTGCTCCTCACTCTCCCCTATTTGCAAATGGATTCCAGAGTTCACTTCAGTATTTAGTAGTAGGTGTCTGCTTCTGCTTCAATCAGCTACTGGATGAAGGCTCTAGGATGGCATATAAGGTAGTTATCAATCTCATTATCGGGGAAGAGCATTAAACGTAGCCACTCTGCTGTTGCTTAGATTATAAGTCAGGGTCATTCTTATAGATCTCTGGCAATTCTCTAGTGCCAGATTTCTCTATTAACCTATAATGTCTCCCTTTATTATGGTATGTCTTTTGTTTGCTCACCTGTATTATTCCCCTGACTTGATCTTCTTGCTCTCTCATGCCCTCCTTTCCCCTCCTCTTCTCCTTTCTCTTTGTACCAACTCCCTAACGCCCCCCCCCCAGCTCCCAATTATCTCAGAAGAGCTTGTCCCTTTTCCCTTCTCCTGGGGACCATGTATGTCTCTATTAGGGTCCTCCTTGTTCCCTAGTTTCTCTGGAGGTGTGGAATGTAGGCTGGTAATCCTCTTCTCTGTATACCATGGTTGTCTTTTGCTTTAAGGGAAAAAATAGGGGTTACACAATAAAAGATTTTGAAACTTTGGATACATATAACAGCAAACAAAAATCAAACTAATAAAGACATTACCATAAATTTGCATTGAAACCCAATTATTTCTATTCTCACTTCCTAAAATAACTTTTAGAAAGCATATTCCATGCAAATAGACAAGTAAATCTGTATCCTAAAAAATCCACGTAAAAATCAAAACCAGGTAAAGATATGGCACAAAGAAAATTTTGAAACAGAATTTAAAGAATCATAATTTATATATAAATTGAGCGATATGCAATCACAGATTACCAATATGAATGTATAAAAGCAAACTGAAAATATCCAAAACAAAATTTGTCGAAAAAGTTAATTCTGAGAAAAATTAAGACCTCCTATAAAAGGCTCAAAATAACAAGGCAGAAATTGATGAGCCTGATGACACATCAACAGAAACTTTCTAAAGGGAAATGCCATTTTAAGGAGAAAGAATATAATGTAATATCTTAAACCATGGAAAAATTTTAAAATAGATAGCTTGCTTGTAATTTGAGCAAAAAAAGGAAGGGACAAAGGGGTAAAAAAATCAAGTATTTGATAAAATAACCTATGATATTTTTTTCAAACATAGTAGTATTGATCCATCTCGTCAGAATTTTCAGAAAATAACCACCAGGATAAATGCAAAATAGTCTATGTAAATGTATGTAAAATCCAGAAATTCACAAAAAGAGACGGGACCTCTTGAGTTCTTTGGATATTTTGGAAATCAGCCTTCTGTGTCATGTGGTATTGGTCAAGATATTTTCCCATTCTGTGGGCTTCTGTTTAGTCTTGTTAACTGTGTCTTTTACCTTACAGAAACTTCCCAGTTTCAGAGGTCCCGTTTATTAATTGTCAATTTCAGTGTCTGTGATGCTGGCGTTATGTTCAGGAAGTGGTCTCCTGTCCCAATTCATAATTCAACTAAAAAGCGGGGTTGAGAACTAAACAGAGAATTATCAATAGAGGAATCTAAAATCTAAAATGGCTGAAAGACACTTAAGGAAGTTCTCAACATCCTTAGTCATCAGGGAAATGCAAGTCAAAACAACTCTGAGATATCTTTCATCTGTCAGAATGGCTAAAATCAAAAACACCAATGACAGTCTATGCCGGAGAGGATGTGGAGAAAGTAGAACTCTTCTCCATTGCTGGTGGGAGTGCAACCATGTACAGCCATTTTTGAAATCAGTATGGTGGTTCCTCAGGAAAATGGCAACCAGTCTACTGCAAGAACCAGCAATTCAACGCTTAGGCATATACCCAAAAGATGCACATTCATACAACAAGGACATCTGTTCAAGTATGCTCATAGCAACATTATTTGTAATAGCCATAACCTGGAAGTAACTGAGATGTCCCTCAACCAAAGAATAGATACAGAAAATGTGTAACATTTACACAATAATATACTACTCAGTGGGGGAAAAACAATGCAATCTTGAAATTTGCAGGCAAATGAATGGAACTAGAAGACATCATCCTAAGTGAGGTAAGCCAGTCACAGAAAGACAAACATGGTATGTTCTCACTCATATATGGATTTTAGACATAGAACAAAGGATTACCAGCCTACAATCCACAATGTCAGAGAAGCTAGAAAACAAGGAGGGCCATAAGAGAGACCCAAACAGTCCCCCAGTGAAGCAGAAAGGGACAAGAGCCCCTGAACAAATGGGGAGCATGGGGGCATGGAGAAAGAGGAGAGAAGAAGAGAAGTGGGGAGGATATTAGGGTTCAGGAAGATTGAATGGGGAGAGGAATAGAGAACAAGAAAAGAGGAAGCCACTATAGGTTTAAAAAGAAATCTGGCACTAGGAAATTGTACACAGATCCACAGGCTGACCCCCAACTAGGACCCTAAGCAATAGTGGAGAGGCTACCTTAAATGCTCTTCCCCTATAATGAGAATGATGACTAACTTAAAGGCCACCAGAGTACCTTCATCCTGTAGCTGATGGAAGCAGAAGCAGATATCGACAGCTAAACACTGAGCAGGCACTCATAACTAAGCAGTAAGCTGTACTCCTAGAATCCAGTTTCAGAGAAGGAAGAATTATTTAAAAAGGGGTCAAGACCATGCTGGGAAAACCCCCATTAACAGATTACCTGAGCAAGTGGGAACTCATGGACCCCAGTCTCACACCTGGGGAACTAATATAGGACCAAAACAGGCCCCCTGAATGTGGATGTAAACTAGGAGCACTGGGTAGTCTATGATGCAACTGGCAGTGCAACCAGAATATATCCGTAGTGCGGAATCTACTTCGGGAGCCCATTTCCCATGGAGGGATACTCTCTTAACCTGCATACACAGGCACAGGGGAAGGCCTAGGCCCTGCCCCAAAATACTTGACAGATTTTTATGATCCCTCATGGAAGGCCTCACCTTCCCTGGGGAGTGGATGGGGGATGGGGATGGGAGGTTCTGCGGGTGGTGGAAGATGAGAGGGAGAGGGAACTGGGATTGAAATGTAAAATAAGATTGTTTCTAATTTAAATAAAATCTATTAAAACGACAAAAAAAAAAAAAAAGGCGGGAGGACCTAGAAATTTCAAGGGTTGTTCCTCAGGGTGGGTACCACGGAAGTGTGACTGGGCAAAGAACTAGGAACCTTAATTTGTTGAATTCTTCTATGCATCCATGTACTTCTATAATGGTGGATACCTAAACTTAAATATTTTAAAGATGTAAAACTGTGTAGTATAAAATCTGACTCTCAATATATGCAAATTTAAACTAAATGAATTTCTTGGGTGACTTCAAGAAGGAATTTGTAGCAAGAGAACAATAGTAAAAACTGAAAAAATATCAGGAAGGGAAAAAAGGCTTTAAAAATCACATATTTTATAAGGAACATTTGTTTAGAATTCATAAGGAATGCTACAACTCAACAATAATTAACAATCTAATAAATCAACAAGAGTAGATATTTTTCCAGAGAAAATAGTTTTAAAATGATCATTTAGCACATGAATAATGCTTAATGCCATAGTCATCAGGGAACTATGAAAAATAAATCTCAGTGAAGTGTCTTTTCATAGTTGTTATGATGAATAAAAAAAAAAAAAACTGATCAACACTTAAAAGTGCATAATGACATTGGTGCCCTCACATTGTTTGAATTGGTATACCACTTTGGGAAACATTCTAGCTATTTTTGAAATCACATAAGACTCAAAAGTTTCACTCCAAAAGAAATAAAAATATATTCAAACAAAACCATATACTAACATTTATATAAGAACTCTTAATAATAGTAAATGGGTGAAAATAATATAAATACCCTTTATTGTATAGATATATAAACAAAATGAGAATCCCAGTCAATTTAACTCCATTTACAGATGATATAATTGCTTATTAGAAATCCTCAAAGGTATGGGACTGATCCAGACCCCAGGAACATGGGTTTCTGTGAGGAAACCTCAGAAATCTACGGGACCTCTTGTAGAAGTTCAGTACTTATCCCTGGCATAGGTGTGGACTTTGGGAGCCCATTCCATATAGACTAATAATCCCTGAGCCAAGAAACACAGGGTTGAGCCTAGGCCCTATCCCAAAGGATACAATAGACACTGATGACACCTTATGGAAGGCCTCATCATCCAGGGGGAGCAGAAAGGATAGATAGGGTTTTAGCTGGGGGGGGGTGTGGTAGGGGAGGAAAAGAGAACTGGGATTGTCATGTAAAACAATCTTGTTTCTAATTCAAATAAAAAAAAGTTGGAAAAAAAAAGAAAGAAATCTGCAAAGTTCCTATCAAATGTTATTCTGACCAAATGAACAAACCAGAACTTGACAAAAGCAGCATATAAAACCCAGTATCTTTTTAATACAGAAATAGCAAATACTCTAAGAAAGAAATCAGGAAAACAATCCCTTTCAAAATAGCTTAAAAAATATCTGGAAATGAGCTTTGAGAGATAGTTTAGCAGTTTGCTCCTTCAGACCACAGGGGTTGGTTTGATCCCCAGCACCTTATGGTGGCACATGAACATCTGTTTCTAATCCTGAGATATTCAGTGTCCTCTTCTGGCCTAAAACAGACATATGAAAGTAAAGCACCCATGCACATTGAATAAAAGTAATTCCATGAGAACGCATATATGAATACAGTGAGTTCTTGAAAACATAGAGGAAAGGACTGAAATAAATTATAGAAGATTGTAGGACCCCTCATATTCACAAACAAGCAGAATTAACTGTCATTAAAAGCTATAAAGTCACATTATCAACAAAATCTACAGATTTATTATAATCCCTATCAAAACATAAATGATGGACTTCACAGAACTAGATTCAAATATATCTAAAATATATCCATACACAACCAAGACTCCAAACAGTCATGAAATCCAGAATCAAAAGATCAAAGATGGATACATCACATTTATTTTGTTCTTGCCCAGTTCCTTCCCCTTCTTTACTTCCTGTCTGCCACGGCTTATGTACTCTGCTTTCTTACATCTCCCCAATCATGATGGACTGACATACCAGGAACCCTGTGCCCAAATGTATCTTTATTTTTCAGATTGCTGCTCTCAGACATGGTCCCAGACAAGAAGAAAAATAACTCATGTGGATTTAGAAGATGTTTGTTGGAGCATAAGAAGAGAAACAAGAGTAGAAAAGAAATAACTATGAGGTGATAACACTGTTCAGAAAATTTAACACTGATGACCAGGTGGTACAAATATTTATGATAATAACCCCTGAATTGTATACTTTAATGGGTGAAATGTATGATATGCCTTATATATGAAAATTTTTAAATTATGAAAGAGGATATAAAATATGCTTATAAAATATACTACACATACCATATTATAATAACAAATTCCATAAGGTCCCAAACAGCATAATTTTTCAAACTACACATGAATAGCTAAAGTAAAGCCACATATTACACATTCTTATGATTGGAAAAGAAAACTGAAGCCAAAATAATAATAATGAAATAATTTATATAGTATTGTACAATAAGTAACTAGATAAAATTACATATTTTTTTCTTAATTTATGTAAAATTTAATATCTAGGGTTGTCTCTAACTTAAGATATTTTCTACTTCGAACACTGCATAATTTGTTTACATGATAATATTATTTTGTAGCTTTCATTAGCTGAAAGTCACTTGGGTATACTCATTTGTTAAAATTCAGTAGTTATATATTTATAACATACGTGCTTTTACTCTGTAAATGACTGTGCACATAAATAAAATGATTAAAAAGTGTTTATGGAGATCATTCTATTTTATGAACTGACCTTTTGCCATCTTGTGTCAGAATTTATCTCTTTATTGCTTCCCATCCTATTTAATGTTCTTAGCCACATTTTATCAATAGCTTTTTAGTCATTTATAAGTATTGCATAATGCTTGCAACTATTTTCAATGGGATAATATTTTTCCTTTTATGTTTCTAACAAGTTATTAAAATTATGGATAAAGCATTCACTTTTATATCTCAATCTGATGTATAGCCAATTTTCCAAAGTCTTATTAATTTTAATAAATTATCTCAGTTTTCTTGTATTGCAGCTATATGTTTTGAGACTGAAGAGTGGTGTAGCTGGGATTGATTTTCATTAAATGTGTGCATGATAACACTGCAGACTGGCAACACGGGAGATGCTGGAACCTCTAGAGGGAACTTCCTGGTGGGAACTTATTAGGTTCCTGGGGAAAATGTTTTGGAAGTCACTTGTGTTCATCTGTTTCTAGATCTTAGGCCTCTGATCCCTGTATTCAAAGAAACTGTTTAATCTCCCCTGCATTTCCACACTGACATGTTGTTCTTTCCAGTCCCCAGGTAAGTGGTCCTAGACATGAAGAATTTTTGAAACTTTAAATGTAAATTAACCTCCTCACAAATTACCTCATGTATTTTAATTGTGTCAGGAAGCTAACAAATAGTAATGGGATTTTTAAAATTAATTTATTTTACTTCTTGTAATTGCATTCTATTTTTACTTCATTGTCCAATCTAAAGTTTTACAAGTAAAATCTTAACTGTCAGTGTTATAAATTCTGTTTTTGTTGTTGTTGTTAAATGTGAATTTTGTTTTAAAAAAACTGTTTGTTGTTGAGTGTTGACATTTATTATATTCTCTGTGTAATTCCCTTACATTTTATTATTAATGGCTACTGAGTTGTGTTTGATTATTTGAATCATTTACTGACTTAACTAAAATTATTTCATTAATATGTATTCATCAAACTCGCATAGATTCCTGTATACTGTGATTACAGTGGCAAGTTAATCCAGACATGTATGCCAGCAACAAGTATTTTTATATTATGGCACAAATACTGTGGATTGTTTTTCCAGGTGTATAAAAGATAAAATGATTGATGACATGAATTTCATGATATTTTAGGAAGGAAATGTTGCTAATACAATGACCCAAATGTAGAGCAGATTACATATATTGTAGCACAAAAAAATGAAAGACCCAGAAACAGATAATGGGACTCAAGCTTCAATATGAAGATCAGAGAAACAAAGCAGCCAAGTCAGGTGATCTAACTTCTACCAAGCTGAAATGGCAATCCTTTCTCCATGATTCTTTAGATGGAGGTTCTGTTCCACTTGGTCCCACAGCCATTTAGTCCCAAATAAACACACAGAGGCGTATAGTAATTATAAGCTGTTTGGCCGATGGCTCAGTCTAGCTCTCCCTTAAATATTAACCAATTTCTATTAAACTAAGTATTTCCACATAGTCTAGGCTTACCTGAGAATGCCTGGACTTGTTACTCCTTCGGCAGCTATATGGCATCTCTCTAGAAGCTCACTCTTTATGTCCTTTTCCCAGAATTGTCCTCATGGGGGAGCCTGGCCTATCTTTCCTGCCTGGCTACTGGCCATTCAGTGTTTAATTCATCAACAAATAAGACAAACATATACTAGCAGAATACAGAAGGACATCCCCTATTACAAATCCTCAAAGGCAAAAGCTCTCAGTTCCTGTCTCCTCCTGCCTCTTATTCCTTTTTCCACCTAGCCATATCATTCCTGTCTATACCTCCTTAGTGCTGGGATTAAATGCATGTGATCCTGGGTGCTGAGATCATCTTTGTATGAGCTGTTTCTTTTAGGACTGGAACAATTTCGTGCAGTCAGCATGGCCTTGAACCAACAGAGATCCTTTTACTTCTTAATCCTGAGTCAAGGGATTAGAGGTGTGTAAGACCACTGCCTAGCTCTATGGATGTCAGATTAAACATATTATCACTGCCCGATCTGAACCCCCAGTCAAACTTTATTAAATAATAAATAATATATCACCACAATATTTACATAGTGAGCTGAAGGAATGTTTGTGCAGATAACTAGAGTGGGTAGGGAAGATATGTTCAAAGGAGATATATGGAGACTTGGTCGGCCCAAATCATATATCCCATGTGAGTTAGGGTGCAGTGAATTATGCAAATATGCTGACAAGTGCTGAGACACCCTTAATTCTCCTATAATAAACTTTCTTTTGGTGGATTATTCAGATAGTACACACCAAGATTCCTTTAATATTAACTTACGTATCTTGATGAAGAGCAATGATAAATACTTTTTGAACAGGATTTCTGAGTTTTGATTTTATACTCCCTTTAGTTTACAGAATTAAAAGGTTCAGGTGTTTTTTTATATGAACAGATGAAAAGCTCATCCTTTTGAGGACTGGTTAGGTGAGATATGCCATTGAAAAGCCTCTCCCCCTGAAAGGCTGCATGGACTTATCAACCCTCCATTAAATTTTCACATGATCAATAAGTCTAATTCTTACAATGTATATTCTCTTTATTTGTGTGCTTAATTATTTTACATTATCCTAGAGTTTTCGAGATTTTGCCAGTCAATCATCAAGTATGTAAAGATATCAAAAATCTTGCTGGGCACTGGTGGCAGATGCCTTTAATCCTAGCACAAGGGAGGCAGAAGCAGGCAGATCTCTGTGAGTTCAAGGCCAGCCTGGTCTCCAGAGGAAGTGCCAGGATAGGCTCCAAATCTACACAGAGAAACCGTGTTTCAAAGCAAACAAACAAACAAAAGTCAAAAATCTTTCTTTATTGAAGTGACAGGGTATTGAGCCTCATAAACTAATGTTAGTTTTAATCTTCGTGACTGTAATTGTATATACTTTTCAGTGTAATGGGGCTATTAGCTATTTCTTTGTAAATTTCTACTTTCTAAAGTGTCTCACTATATTATTTTCATTATATTTATTACTTTATAGTTTTGGAAAGTTTGCTAAAAAACCTCTATTCTGAAAAAAACGTGTCAACTTCATGTTTTAAAAATCCATCTGTTTTGTTCTTGTTTCTCTTTACCTTAATTTGAATTTATTGTTGAATTAATTATAAATTATTTTTCTAATTTATGTACATATTCACTTTCATTTCACACACACACACACACACACACACACACACACACACACACACACACACACACACAAACTTGGTTAGTAGTACCCTTTAAGTTTTGTCATGCTATCTTCTTGATTTTCAATATGTCAGTCAGAGATGCTATTTTGTTATCTCCTAATGTCATGGTAATTTTGTTTTACAACATTGTGTGTTTATGATTATCTAATATTTTAAACTGTAAAATTTAAATTCCTTTTGGATTGATAGAAGAGATCTTCGGTATAGTGATTTCTGCTTGGATGTACAAGCACTATGAACCATTTTATAAATAAATGATTAAATTACAGTTTGATATATGTTAATTCATGAGAAAATTTAAAGAACATTGTATTATCTTGAATATAGTTAATCATGCAGAAGTATTAAATGAGTGTAGACATTGAAGAGAGGAAGCTGACAAAGGTAGATTAAAATGGAAACTACTTTCATATCTCTTTCATTGCCATAATATTTTAATTCTTTTCTAAAATTTTGAAACTTTAAGAATAATTGGTAACCTCTAATACATATTGAAGTGGAAATATATTCAGGGTAAAAACTCAAAGAAAATGATTACATAGTTATCAATATTAAATCCTATTTTAACTGTCATTCTTGGAAAACTTAGAAAAAATAGACATTCACAGCTCCTATTGAGAAAATTACTTAATTTTTTATTGAAATCCTTAATTTTAAGACCTAAAATTACAAGCTAAAGAGCTCCATATGCAAAACCACATTTCAGTTTGAAATAACTAAAAACTCACGCAATAATAAAATGAATTAACCAGTTAACAATGAATTTAGAGAAAAGAAAATACATTTACTGAATTAACAAATGCAGCATAATTGCAAGCAATCCATGCATACTTACACTGTGCTGATTGCACGTAGATTATATGATTTAACATGAAAATAATCTAATACAATAGTTATTAATACCTGAATTTAACAAAGCAAAATGGAAAGCACAGAAGTGCTTTACAAGTTTGCTGTTTTTCAACCAAGTCAAGCTGTCTCCTATTATATCTGTTCAAGCAATATCACCAATGCTAAAGCACAACTTGTTAAATACGGGAATTTTATAATGTTTTAAAACAGAAGCTAATCCTGTGAATACAATACCTGTATTCATGAATTTTATTATGTTTTCAACAGTACTGGAGGGGAAATCCAGGGCCTCCCATGTATTAGGCATGTGTTCTGCTGTATCAGGTCCTCAGCTCCTGGCTATTTTCTTTTAATTAATGAAAGTTATTTCCTAAAATAAAATAATAAAAATTCATTCACACTTTTCTCACCTTTATTGTGTGCCAGAATCTTTGTAAACACATATTGGTTTATTGATATTTTTCCTAAGAAAGAAAAGTGACAATTGCGGTTACTTATCATGTTGATTCTCTTGTGGTTATAGATGAGGAATTTGAGGTACACAAAGTTAAATTTCTTGTGTATGGTTTCAAATCAGGTTAAAACAGCTATCAGGTAGCAGATACTTTTGGAGAATGGAATTAAAACAGTAGGAGTAATATATAAAAATTCTGTTTATTATCTCTTCTTTTTAATATGTATTACTAAGTTTCAAGTGTCCATAATATGGGTCTTTCCTGATAAGCCTGTCACAGTCATTTCAAATGTTTCCTGCTCTAACCATTAAAAAGAGACTATCCATTGGAGTCAGCTGTCCAATGTCAGCCCAATGGATTAAAGTTGTGTTTCTGAAAGCCACTTAATATTAACAGAGAATAAAGAAAAAATATTATCCACAAATAGAGTCAAGGATAATAAACCTGAACTATTATAGAGGAAAACTATAATAGTTTTGGGAA